CTGCTGGGGCGAAAGGGTCTCACAGGAACGCGGCTGCTGCTGGCGCTGGCTACCGCCAAAGGCTCCACGCGGTGCGGTACCTCTTCGGCCAGCACCACCACCGCCTCCACCGCCTCTACCTCCACCGCCGCTGCCGCTGCCTCCACCACCTCCACTGCCGCCCCCACTCCCGCCACCACCCCCACCGCCACTGCCACCGCCACCCCCTCCGCCCCCTCCACCGCCTCCACCGCCGCCCCCTCCGTCCCCTCCACCACCCCTGCCCCCCTTTCCCTTGCCGTTGCGGCGCCTCCCACTAGGAGCAGACGCAGCCCCGACCTCCTCAGTGCCAACGAGGTCGACAGCAGCAGCAGAAGCAACAGAGGGGAGAAGGGGGACGGGGGAGCACCCCTCAAAGAAAGGGGCGCGAGGGTCACCGCGAGAAGCACCTACAGCAACAATACTCTTCTCTGCTGCAGTAAGGCGCTCCTCAAGCAGGTCGACGGTGAGCTCAGTGGGGCAAAGGGAGAGAAAGTGGTCCCTGACTGAAGAGAGGGAGTCAGGGAGACGGGTGACTAGGTAGTAGAGAGTGATGTACATGGGGGGGGGGGTTCTTGGCACAGAACTCAGTGGGAAGCGCAGCGCGGTAGCGGGTGTCACTAGTGCGGAGGTGAGTAATGAGGTCAGCGACTGTGGCAAAGGCAGCAAGGTCAGGGAACAGGTACGGCAGCATGAGGCGGCTGAGAGCAGCAGTGGCAGGGGAGGAGTAGCGCGCGACAACAGCGTCATACAAAGACTTTGCAGTCTTGTACTGGCCAAAGTGATCGAACAGGGAGACTCCGTCCTTGGAGTCGCACTGGAGAAACAGCTGTAGGTCGTCTACCCAAACCTCGAAGTCAACAGCACGACCCTCAGCATCAAAGGTAAGAACAGTAGGACTAGCCATAGCTGCAGAAGCAGCAGTAGCAGCAGTAGCAGCAGAAGCAGCAGTAGCAGCAGTAGCAGCAGAAGGAGGGCAGTGCGGCTCAGTAGGGCGGCGCGGCTCCGCAGCGGCGCGGCTCGGTAGGGCGGCGCGGCTCGGCAGGGCGGCGCGGCTCGGCTGGGCGGCGCGGTTGCTTACCAGGGGCGGGTGCAGGGCAGGGCCGCAGCTGGCGGTTAGGTCAGGGCCGCGACTGGGGCGGCAGCAGGGTAGGGCCGCGACTTGGCGGCGGAAGGGCAGGGCCGCGACTCGGGCGGCCGAAAGGGCAGGGCCGCGACGCGTCGGCGGCAGAGCAGGGCCGCGACAGGGCGGCAGTAGGGCACGGCCGCGGCTGGGCGGCGGTAGGTCAGGGCCGCGACGAGCAGCGGCAGGGCAGAGGCCGCGGCGGGCAGCAAGGTCGGGGCCGCGACGAGGGGCAGCAGGGTAGGGCCGCGACGGGCGGTTAGGGTAGGCCGCGACGGGCGGCAAAGCAGGGCCGCGGGCGGCGGCAGGGCAGGGCCGCGACGTAGGGCGGCAGGGCAGGGCCGCGACGTAGGGCGGCAGGAGAGGGCCGCGACGGGCGGCAAAGCAGGGCCGCGACGGGCGGCTGATTAGGTCGCGACGGGCGGCTCAGGCAGGGTCGCGACTAGCGCGACAGCAGGACAGGGCGCGCGACGACGGAGGAGAGGCAGGCGCGACTGCGCGCTTCGGGCAGGAAGGAAATTTTCAGTGGTGGGCCCTAAAAAAAAAAACGTTCCCACGAGGGAACCTGCTCAGAATACCATGTCAGAATGAGAACGAAGGAATGATTGAACTAGCAAGCAGTTGGGTACAAGTAGGAAACCTAGAAGTGTTGTACCCTATATTGACTACCCCACTACAGCCTACACAGACTATGTCATATATGTTTGACACGCTGACGCCGCCACCGAAGTCGTCTCCGCAATCGACGTAGCGGCTCTCAATGTGGGACGTTGTACGCTTGATCTGCACATGCACGCTGGCATAGTCAAGCTAGACAGAAACAAGAGGAAAGGTGGTTAGTGACTGCTGAACGTTTGCTTGCAGGAATCTGGCAGAAAGATCAACACTTCAATAACTAATGACAAGCAACCAATATGCCAGAGGTCACCTCCTTGTGCTGGAAGGCACTGTTCAATATGTTCGGCTGCTCAAGCACATCAGCAATGAAAAACAAGAGGAAGTGAAATCTGTAGCTCGTCACGAGCGCATAGAGCTTCGAGTCCCACTCCTTCAACATCACGATAAGAGCCGGAAGGACGGCGACAAGCCTGAGCACTGCGTCGCCCCGCGAAAGCCAACGGGCTGCATGGATCCCTTGCAGCTCCAGTGAGGTGGAGCCCCATGAAGCGCTAGTGCCATGGCCCACTACGACCGAGATCCTCAGCCACGGTGCAAATCACCGTGTCAATAACGTTGAAGGCGGGAATCTTATGTGCGGCTGTTTTAGCCGCCAGTGCCTCCCTGTACAACAAAAAGGCAAACATTAGTTACTCGTAAACGTTATCAAGCAGAAAACAATCCACGGCAACCCTATGCACAAACACTGACATACCTGTGCGCAATGCAGTGGGATGACACCAAATGGGGGATGCGCAGGCGGAGGCGTGTCGTGAGGCCGCTCTTGCTGCCCATCATGACGTTCGCGCCGACGGTGCTGATGCCTGCAATGCACTGAAGGTCGACCCCGACTGCCTGCAGGTGTGATAACAGAACGCCCAGAAGAGAAGCGGCGTCGGCCTTCTCCACGGTGAGTAACGCCATGAACTCCGTGACGAGCTTGTTGTCACGGATGAAGGTGATGAATAGGATCATGTGCTTCCCGCTGCACCAATCCGTGCTCTCGTCAATCGAGATGCCGACGAAGGGCGACGACAGCACATGTTCTAGCTGGGTTGTCTGGAGCCATATCGCTGTAGCTTGCGTCAGCTCACCGAAGCCGTATCTGCACATGGAAACAATAGTCAGTAACATAATAGTGAGGATATTATTAAAACACCGATGTATAAGAAAAGGCGTACGACAGTTGCACTCACGTGGTGTAGTAGGTGCTGTACCCCTTCTTCGGGAAGCCTTGCACGCCCTTCTCCGACAAGTACCGCACCAGTTTCACCCACATCCCCATGGGCGCGTCGGACCTGCTGATGAACAGCAACGAGTCGAGAAGGGCGACGACGCGCATCTTCTCACTGTCAACCGCGGCGCGATGTTGGTCGATCTGCGGCTGCCTCGCCCCGCACTCCTCCTCAGATGTCAGTCTCGCCATCGCCAGCTTGTGCTTCGCCGTGCCAGCGTGTTTACGAAACGACTGTGTCTGCAAGTCGGTGGCGCCTTTCCCGCGCCTCCCGCACTTGCCTGCATCGCCAACATAAGCTGCACAAACGGTACACTTGAACGCATGCAAGCCCATCGTGGTTTTAGTGATCCTAAGCCACGGAAAACGAGTAGACCACAAACTTTTAAACTTGTCAATCGATTCGTCGTACACTCCCTCGATGAGCTCGGCCAGATTGATGTTGAGGCGAGGACGCGGTCGGTCAGAGGTGCCGGGAGCGTTGTTGACATTGGCAGTCGACGACGCTGCCCTGCCGAAGGTCAAGGTCGCCTGCTTGAGACGGATCGTGCGCGCTGTGGTCTGAGTCGGATTCTGCGAGGCCGAATCGACAGTTGGTTCCGCAGATGTCTCTGCCACACGGTCGGGAGACAGTGAGATAACTGGAGCCGCGGGTGCTTTCTGTATGGGGATCGTATCGGGCGTGGCGCGTGCTGCCTTATCGAGTTCTAGTGAACTGAGCAAGAAGTCTAAGCCTGTTAAGGCATGCTGCTCATCAGGGTCGTCATCGCCTGTGGCGGGATTGTCCTGCACCGCCATGGCGGGGTTGTGAAAGAGCCTGCCGAGCAGGAACTAGAGAGATGGCTGAGGCAAAACTGGGCACTGGCTGGGGCTCGTGAGTTGGAGTTGGGGGGTGTGGATGAAACCCTAGCTCAAACACGAAGGCCCTTTACCACTATGGGCCATAATTGAGTTGGGTGGGTGGTTGCCTAGCATGCACGGCAACGACGAGGCGCGCCTGCCGTGCAATGCTGTCCGCATTGTTTCGTGGGTGCCTATTGCAGCGTCGTGGGTTCGTGATGGCAAGCAAATCCTGCCAAAACGACCAATCAGTGCGCTCACAGGGTCTGCGCTGGAGCTTACGAGGGGGAAATCGCGTCGCAGGGCGGCGTCGCCCACGTAATTTCACTGTTGTGTTGTGTTGTCCCATGTTTCGCGTGATTGACGGGTTAGGTACAGGTTGTACCGCTAATCCTGGGTGTCGGCGCCCAGATACAATGTATCAGAGTCGGTACGCGTTTGTACTCTGAATGATCAGAGTACACTCCCGGAAAACTCTGAAACGTCAGAGTTAGCTGTATTTGTTTTCTGAAAATTACAGAGTTGGGGCCCTAAAATCTCTGATTTTAACAGAGCTCACTAAAAAAAAAAGCTGAATTCTCAGAGTTTTTCATGCAAATCATAGAAATTTCTCTGACTTCTGGGGGCCTGCTCCACACTGTTTTTTAAGAGTGGTTTTTTCTTTCACACTGATTGAAAGAGTGAAACGAGGATGGTGGCCTTATGGGAAAGACCACATCAAATCCTATCCAGAGGCCTGCTGCTACATCATAGGCTGGCTGGTCTGTGACAAAGCACTCAGGTTGACTGCATAGTCATAGCTGCAACAACAGTGGTCCTAGTTGCTGAGCCATATTTTCAACGGTGACATCTATATGAAAGACAGTTAGCTAGCTGCAGCAGCACTGGCCACCGCCTTGCCTAGTCTTACGGTATCCAATAGCCTACACCAGGGCCCTAGATTGGTTTTGGAGTAGGCTGAAGAATCAGAGTTCACTGCCAAATTTACGCTGAAAATCAGCCAAATTTGCCATTTTCTACTAAAAACCACTAGAAAATCACCCTGTGTTTTTGGGAAAATGCTGTCAGAATCATAGGAGAAGTAGAAGCTAGGGTTTTGGTAGGGCCTAGGCTTAGTAGCCTAGGCCAATGGGGTATGAAGAGAGTTGTGCCCAAGGAGAAGTGAGAATGGGTGATTTGACTATAGCACAACAAGTACATATAGCAAAACACAAAGAGAGAGAGGTGGTACACCACCACCTACAAGAGGTACAAATACTACAGTAACTACAGCAAGGAGGTTACACATCAAATATAGCTTTGACACACCCCTTTAACCTGCTTGCAGTAGGAACTAGTGCAATAAACACCCCCTGAAGGGATACACCCAAGGCAGAGCGCAGCGGAAGAAGCAGACAGCAAATGAGGAGGGATCATGAGAGGAGAGAAAGGGGGAGAAAGGAGGAGGAGGCGGCTGATGCTGCAGCTGGACACACATCACCCCCTCAACCACCCCCCCACAGCGGCAGCAGCGGCAGTGAGGAGTGAGAGGAGGCAGCGAGGCAACAGTTGCTAGAGTTGAGTCACCCACCACCCACACCCCCTGAACCTCCCCACCACTTCACAATCCCCCCACAACAGCAGGTGCGGCCGTGAGTGAGAGGAGGCAGGCTGGCGCTGTAGGTGCAACCTGCCCCTCACACCCTCCCCCCCCAACTGCTGCACGCGCAGCAGGGAGAGGGAGGAGAAGGGGGGACGGGGTAGGAGCAGCGCGTGCGGCTGCAGGTGTGTATGCAGCTGTGCGCGTGCGCAGCTGTGCGTGACTGCGAACGTGGGGCAGCAGGTCGCGCTGGGCCGCAGGCAGCAGGTCGCGCTGGGGCACGGGGCAGCAGGTCGCGCTGGGGCACGGGGCAGCAGGTCGCGCTGGGGCGCGCGGGGCAGCAGGTCGCGCTGGGGCGCGGGGCAGCAGGTCGCGCTGGGGCGCGGGGCAGCAGGTCGCGCTGGGGCACGGGGCAGCAGGTCGCGCTGGGGCACGGGGCAGCAGGTCGCGCTGGGGCACGGGGCAGCAGGTCGCGCTGGGGCACGGGGTAGCAGGTTGCGCTGGGGAACGGGGCAGCATGTCGCGCTAGGGCGCGGGGAAGCAGGTCGCACGGGGCGCATGGGCAGCAGGACGCGCCAGGGGCGCGCGGTGGACAGGAAACCGTCGTGCGCCAGGGGCGCGCGGCGGGCAGGATCCGTCGTGCGCCAGGGGCGCGCGTCGGGCAGGATCCGTCGTGCGCCAGGGGCGCGCGGCGGGCAGGAAACCGTCGCTCGCTAGGGGCGCACGACGGGCAGCACGAAACGAGAGATGCGCGGTGGGCCCATGAAAAACCGGTCCGAGGAGGAACCCCTCTGATACCATGTCAGAATCATAGGAGAAGTAGAAGCTAGGGTTTTGGTAGGGCCAAGGCTTAGTAGCCTAGGCCAAGGGGGTATGAAGAGAGTTGTGCCCAAGGAGAAGTGATAATGGGTGATTTGACTGTATCACAGCAAGTACATATAACAAAACACAAAGAGAGAGAGGTGGTACACCACCACCTACAAGAGGTACAAATACTACAGTAACTACAGCAAGCAGGTTCCACATCAAATATAGCTTTGACAAAAGCTGATGAATCAGCTTTGGTACATGAAAGGCTGAAAAAAGGCTGAATCAGCGTAAAAAGACTGAAATTTAGGGGTCTGGCCTACACATATGGACAACCGTTACGGTATCCGGCTGCAGCAGCACTGGCCTAGTTGCTTAGTCTTACCGAATCTCCAATAGCCTACACATCTGGAAAACAGTTGGCTGGCTGCAGAAGCAATAGCTTTAGTTGGTTAGGATTCTCTCCAATAGCCTCACCTTTAGCTGGCTGCAGCAGCCTTGGCCGCTGCCTTGGCACCTGCTTTGGCTCCTTTTCCTGCTCCTTTGGCTGCTGCAAGTTTCTGTGTGGTTCGGGAGATGGGTTGAGTGTTGCGCTGCAGCCACTGCAGGGGTGCCCCTGACAGCAGAGGGGAGATCTGGGGTGTAGGGGGGTACCATAATGTTAGAATATGGAAACATGAATGACTGGAATGGGGGGGTACAAACATACAAGTAGGAAACCCTAATGGGTTGTACCCCCTAATGAGTACCCCAATATAACCTACAGTGAGATAGTACATTTGACACACCCCCGTAGGCTAAGTGGGGGACAACAAACGGTCACAAGACCAGTCAAGAGAAGAAACAAAGAACAAAGCTCAGGGTGGATCTCAAGGACACATTCCGAGCACAAGCAAGCGGCCACAAGGCCAGTTCACATGCAGAGTTATAATAGCACAAAAAATACAATGATTAAAACATAGCAACCAGAAACATGCAGGTTTATATATCAAAGTATAGAACAAGATCAAGAGACAAGCAAGTGAGGCAGAGTGGGCACAAGCCCAAGAGCAGTGCAGAAACGCTGATGATCACTAGACCCAAGGGCCTTGGTGAAAACATCAGCAGTGTTGGCCTGTGTGGCCACGTAAGCAAGACGAAGCTGACCACGCTGCTGCAGCTCTCGCGTGAGGAAGTAACGGAGAGCAATGTGCTTCGTTCTGTGCTCTAGTCTCTGGTCCAGACACAAGGCAATCATGGGCTTGTTGTCGACGTACAGAACTGGAGGAGAACGAGGCCGCTCACCCAAGTCGGTCAGCAGGTAGGTCAGCCAGCGGAGCTCCTCTGCAGCCATAGCCCCAGCGTAGATCTCGGCCTCACAGCTGGAACTAAGTACAGAAGAAGAGCGAGTGGACCTCCACGAGACAGAACCAGTGCCGAGGCTAAAACTGTACCCTTGTGTCGACCGGTGAGTCGTCTGGTCGTCAGCCCAAGAATTGTCTGAGTGACCGGTGAGAACAACTGAACCCGGTCCTCCAAGCACAAGCCCCATGCCCGATGTACTGCACAAGTAACGCAATACCCTCTTCGCAGCTTCCAAGTGCACCTTTCGGTGTCTACCGGGAGCCACGTAGCGAGCCAGGAGGCTGAGAGGGTACGCGAGGTCATGTCGTGTGCACGTCATCAGGTACATGAGGCAACCCACAAGCTCTGGGTATGGACCACTCGGCTCTACAGACTCGTCCGAAGGTGGAGCTGAGAGCGAGTGGCCGGTAGACAGAGGAGTGGGTTGTGGCGAGGACCACATGAAGTCGAAGCGCTGAAGGACCTGCTGCACCATGTGTGACTGAGTGAGGGTGATGGTGCGGCGTGCTCTGTCCCGGGTGATCTGCAAGCCAAGATAGCTCCGCAGCTCACCCATGTCAGTGCAGGTGTGTCTCTCCTGCAGCTCCGCCTTCACCAAGGCCAGAGCCTCAGTGTCAGCAGTAGCAAAAACCAAGTCGTCAACGTACACGAGAATGTAGAACGGCGGCAGAAACAGCGAAGGGTCAGCAGTCGAGGGAGCGAAGCCAAGAGCCGCAAGTGTAGTCCTCAGTGTGTCGTGCCACTCGCGGGGCGCCTGTCGTAGGCTGTAGACTGGTCGCCGAAGACTCCACTGGGTACCCTCAGGAAACGACCCAGTGAAGCCACGTGGACGGCGCAACCAGATAGCCTCGTGAAGGCTGCCCTACAAGAAGCCTGTCGAGAAGTCGAGGGAGTGCAGCTCGTAGTCGCGCTGTGGTGCAACGTGCAGTAGCACCCGAAGAGTGGTCATCTTCGGGGTGGGGGAGAAGGTCTGAAAGAAGTCAACCCCCTCACGCTGACTGAAGCCTCGTGCAAAGTAACGCGTCTTGAAGGCAGGTGGAGAACCCGTCGGCCGCTTCACCTTGAAATTCCACATGCCATCGACTATGTTCGCCCCAGGTGGGGGAACCTCGTCGACGTAGGTGCCTGTGGACTTCCAGGAAGCCATCTCTGCGTCCATGGCTATCTGCCACTGAGAGGAGTACGGACCCGTGATCGCCTCTGCGTAAGTGCGTGGGGTCGGGATGTCCAGTGCATCCGGGTCTCCCTCAGGGCAAAGTAGCGTGGACGCGAGATGAGGTGCAGCGGCCGCTAGGCACTCCAGCTCAAACTGCCTGTCCTCAACGACGTCACAGCCAAGGGCAAGCTCACCCCCGACGGACGGAGGACAGGAAGAGTAAAAAACAAGACTCGCAGCGTAGTCAAGGTGGCACAAAGCGGCAAAGTCAACAAGCTCAACAACTAAGGCAGACGCAGCAGCAGACTCAAAGGAAGGGTCAGTCACAACTGTGGCAAGGAGACGAGTGACAGTCGGACTGGCAGCACGGACAAGGTCAAACTCAGGATCAGGAATGTGCGGAAGAGAGGACGCGGGAGGCGACGGCAGGACAACACGTTGTGGAACAGAGGAAGGACGGAGTGTCATATCGTGAGTGTCCGGTAAAGCCAGAGGATGAGGACGACGAACACGACGAACACGAGCAGGGACAGAATCTCTAGTCTCAGGCTCTCGACGCTCAGGAGTGGAAGCACGAGTCTCGGGCTCACGACGCGCAGTCAGGGACGCAGTCACCTCAGTGTGAGGAGCAGGAGCAGGCAGCGGGGAGCCAGGCGGTAGGTGTGGCTGAGACTGGTCAGTCGGTGGAAACAGTAACGGAGGAGTAGTACCAGCAACCGGGAACTCAGTAGCAGCAGGCGGGAGACTGAGAAGGTGATGAAGCGCAGACGGCTGCGGCTGAGTAGTCGCACCCCCAGAACCTCCAGCTCCAGTAGCAACAGCACCCCCAGAACCAGTACCACCAGCTCCACCACCGGGACTGCCCCAACGGACAACCCACTCGCGAAGCTGCAGCGGCGAGAGCGACTCCTGCCGACTAGCACCACTAACTCCAGTACCTCCAGTAGTACCTCCAGTGTCATCACCGCTGATGGAAAGCGAGCGAATCTGGAGAGCGTACAAGAGATTAAGTTTGCCGACTTCGACGGAACATTGCGTGCAGCTCACGTAACCTTAAACTATGAGCAGGTACGCGTTGGAAAGGGCTTAATCTCTAATTTCTAGAATGGGAACGCATGCCTTCAACCAAGATCTAGGCCGATCGCTATTGCGATTTAAGTGCGACGGGGTATCCTGGCGAAATTACTTGGTAGTTATGGGTTAGATCAAGAATGTAGCTTTAGCAAGAGTTCAGATCTGCAAAGTCACGAGTTGTTCAAACCCTACCAACCCAACCCTCGCCCTACAACAATCCCCAACAACCCAAAGTGCTAAACTAGCAACACCAAAGGTGTTGTAGTGAATAGCAAAGGTTTGTTTGTGCTTGTTGGGTGCGAGATCAATTCCAGCCCGCAACAAGTCTAACCACCACATTTTGCCCAAACCCTTAGCCCACAACCAGCTAGAGCAAAATACCACAACCACCTACACAATCAACACTCCCCCTTGCTCGTGCTGGAGGTGGCTGAACACCACTGAGGAAAATCCTTCACTTCACTCCCCCTTGCCCAGGGAGGGGTGCCATCCACAGCATGAGGTCGTCAAGGCAGAGAAGCACCAGTCCTCCCACATCCTGCTCAGGCACCATGCTGACATGGGGCTGCATCCCCATCAAGGACATGCACACACCATGCCGCTCAAAAGGGAGGGGTTTGGTGAGTAAATCTGCTGCTTGACGGTTGGTGGGGCACCACCGGAGGATCACCTCGCCGCACGCCACCATCTCTCTGATGAAATGCCACCGAACCTGCATGTGCTTGGTGCGGCCATGCAAGCATGCATTCTGTGCAAGGGCAATGGCAGACTGGTTGTCCACAAACACAGGCACACCACCAGAAAACTCATGCCCAAACTCCCCAAACAAACGCTTCAGCCACACACCCTCCTGAATGCACTGACACAGACTGATGTACTCACTCTCAGTGGTGGACAATGCAACCACCGGCTGCCTCTTGCTCTGCCAAGAGATGGCTGCACCATTAAGGCAATAGACATAGCCGGTGTGACTCTTGCGATCAGCTGAATCTCCAGCATAATCAGCATCACTAAAGCCCACCAACTCAACCTGAGGCTTGCTGTGTGCAGGGTAGAAGATACCTGACTTGACACAACCTTTCAGGTACCTTAGCACTCTCTTAGCAGCCTGCAAGTGAAATGCCTTGGGACAAGACACCACCTTGGAC